CAGACAGACAGACAGACAGACAGACAGACAGACAGACAGACAGACAGACAGACAGACAGAGATCATTAGAGATATATGGATGGATGGATGGATTTTATATAGATAGACATATAATACAAATAATATAATACATATTATATTATAGACATGTTTATTGTATTCCTGCTTAAGTGAGACACATGATTATTTGGCAGAAGGTCAAACAGGGATCATGTGACCCTGGGGAGCTGTGCCCGTCATAAGAATGAGTCAGCTGTCCGGCCTCTTTTTCCACTTCCTTTGTCCTTCTTTTTCTTTTCCTTTCTCCTTCCCTTCCCTTCTTTCCTCTTTTTTCATTCCCTTCTCTTTCCTCTTTCCTCTTTTCTCCTTCCTCCTTTCCCCTTCCTCCTTCCTCCTTTCCTTTCTCTTTCCTTTCCCTTCCCTCCTTTCCTCTGTTTCATTCGCTTCTCTTTCCTCTTTTCTCCTTTCTCCTTCTTTTCTCCTTTCCTCCTTTCTCTTTTCTCCTTTTTTCTTTCCTTTCTCCTTCCCTTCTGTTTTTTCCTCATTTTTTCTTCCCTTCTCTTATTTCTTTTCTCCTTCCTCTTTTCTCTTTTCCCTTCCCTCTTTTCTCCTTCCTCCTTTTTCCTTTCCTTTCTCTCTCCTTTCCCTTCCCTTCTTTCCTCTCTTTCATTCGCTTCTCTTTCCTCTTTTATGTTTTCTCCTTTTTTCTTTTCTCCTTTCCTCCTTTCTCTTTTCTCCTTTTTTCTTTCCTTTCTCCTTCCCTTCTGTTCTTTCCTCATTTTTCCTTCCCGTCTCTTATTTCCTTTCTCTTTTCTCCTTCCTCCTTTCTCCTTCTTTTTCCTTTCCTTTCTCCTTCCCTTCCCTTCTTTTCTCTTTTTCATTCCCATCTCTTGTCTCCTTTCTCTTCTTTTCTCTTTCCCCTTTTCCCCTTTCCTTCTTTCTCCTTTCTCTTTTCTCTTTTCTCATTCTCGCTGGCCTTGTCAGCGTTGACAAATACCTCTGGATGACTCTTTGCAAGGGAAGCCGCCGCCAATGCCTCCCCCGTCAGGAGGGCTGGCCGGCCGAGCTGCCAGGCACGATAAAATCCTAGCAACCTGCCCTCCTCACCCGGGCAGAGCCCGACCCCCCGCTTGGCAAAACCCTGGGCGGCAAGGAGAAAAAATTCATCTGGGGCGGGAGAGGAAAAAAACGGTGCCAAAAAGGACAATCGAACGAGCTCCGCTTTGCTCCCGCGAGCAAAGTTACCGCTACGAGTCAAAAAACCAACGAACCTCACCCCGAAATAAAATTAAATTCACTTTTTTCCCCCCTGACAAAGGAGACCCTCGCCTTTCCCCAGAGGGGTCACTTTCGCCCTGGGGACTCGGGAAGAAAGAAACCACCATTCAGGGTTTGTCCACGGCGTAATCCTGGTTTACGCCAGCGGGGAAAAAGTAGCGTAGCTTTTTAATCTTACGAAAATAACCACGATTGGGGAGCGGGAACCCCTTTGACCTCTCCGAAGCTAACTGGAGTTTGATGAATGAAACGGACCCCCCAAGAAGGCTCGAGGCTTCTTTGGACCATGTCCAATTTCCCTCTGGAACTCCCTGCCACAAGAAGATCCCCCTAGGAATCAGGATCTCCACTCCCTGTCCCGAATCCAGAACCTCGCTCGTAGGGGAAACAGCAGGAAAACGCCAAATGCATCTGGAGTTGGCACCCCAGACGTAACGAACTAACCATGATTGGGAACCATGTTGGTTTGATGCGTCCTTGCAAGCCCGGGATTGCTCCCAATCCCTGCTGGCATTGCCCCCATTCCCCAAAAGGTGCCAGGCACCTCTTTATACCCATTGCACACCTGGCAAAGGAGGGCCGGACTCTCGCTCTGGTTCCCCCGTTGCCGTCCCTCGCTGGGCCGCGGGCCGAGAAACATCCTGTTATTTTCCTGCCAAGCGTCCTTCCCGCCACCGGCGAGCAAGGTCAAGGGACGCGCTTTGTCCCCCGGGTGGGGTCCCAGCATACGCCAGCAGCCCCCTGCCCCGAGCCAGCTTTTTCCTGTTTGGCTGACTTGCGAGAGAGGAGGAAAGCAATTCTCAGCCCTTCTCTGAAGTTGAGTCGGGGGCTCGGCTATTTCCAAGCAGGGCTGCCCATTCCGAGCCTTGGCACGCTACGGTCTTTTGAGGGGAGGGAGGGAGGGAGAGATGATAGATAGATAGATAGATAGATAGATAGATAGATAGATAGATAGATAGATAGATAGATAGATAGATAGATAGATAGATAGACAGA